ATGGTTCGACTACAAGCTAAGAATCCTAGATACTCACAGCCATCTCCATCGTCTTGGGGTTGAACGACTGGAACGGCTGCACGCGCGTGGCGTTGCGGGCGTCGACAACCGCGATCTGAGCGGTGACAGCGGCCGTAAATGCTTGGCAGACGGCCTTGGCTGCGTCGTCGAGCATAATGTGCGAAAAGTCTTCCGTGATTGCCGGCTGCGCAAAGCCCGTCGCGGTCATGATGAGCGCGAGACGGACGCCAGTGCTGGGACGACCCGCGAGCTCGCCTTCGACCCACGCCGAGGGGCAGAAAGCCGGGTCCGACACGTACTCGGCGATCGTGCCGAGGTGGTTGTGCATCGACGAGACAAGAAAAATGAAGTGTGCGACAAAGTCCTTGAGGTTCTCCAGGGTGAGCGTCCGCATCGGCACCGGCAGCTTCGTGCTCAAGAACGTCCAAAACGCATGGACATCCGTGTCGTTCTGAAGCGCGTCCTCGCTCTTGTAGTACAGGTCGACGTAGTTGCTGACGAACGACCGGCAGATATGCCAGTAGTCCATACCGTCCTCATGGAACGGCAGCGTCGTTGTGTCGATGTTCTGGCGCGCAATGTGCTCTGGGAACGTCTCGTACTTGAAGTTGGCGAGGCCAATGTCCCACGTCTGCTTCATGCCCTTGTCCGTGAGCGCGTAGGCGCGCTGGAGCATGCCCTTGGGCCAAAAGAGCGCCCGACCTGCACCGTAATTGATCGCAATCGACCGGAACGTGAAGGGCTTGATCAAGCGGCGGAGCGGGTGCGTTGGTGGCAGTTGCTCGCGGTTGGCGATGACCATGATGTTGGCTACTGTCGCGTGCACACCGAGAAGATGGTCCACCGCCGTGATCTTCGTCTGGAGACTACCACGAAAGCATAGCTTGGCGTACGCCCAGTTGTCGTCACCTGGGCGCACCGTGACGTCACCGCGGACGATCTTGGTGACTTTGCCCTCGGCGCTGAAGAATGCGTCCGCGCCGTACTTGGCGTAGCCAGGGCGCACCTCGAGGCCCTTCAAGAAGTTGAGGCAGATGCCGTAGTACGAGCCATCGTCGTGAGCTTCCGGGAGCTTCGTGAGAAGATGCTGGCCAAAGCCGTTGAAGGCCAAGAGCTCGAGCGCGCGGTCCGAGTAGCGGTCGTTCCAGTGAACGTTGACGCGCGGCCACATGCTGCCGACCTTGCTCATGACGTAGCGCTCCATGTCCTCGCCAGGCAGCCACGTGTGCTCAAAGTTGTCGACAAACGGCGCATAGTCACGGAGGAAGTTGGACTGCTGGATCTCGAGCCACGGCTGGTTGGGCCAGTCTTCGTCTTCGGTCGCAACTTGAATGTTGGTCTGGATGAGCGTCATCTTGGGAAGCTCTTTCTGAAACTGCGGCACCGTCAGCACCTCGTTGGCGACCGGCTTGTTCCAGCGCGCTTGCTTCTTGGCGATCAACTTGATCATGAGACGCGTCCAGAGATCGAGGCGCGCGTCGTCCTCGTCGTCCGAAACCGTGCCTGCGATGCCCACAAGGGCCTTGGCTTCGGGTAAGTTGAGGAGGTGCCAGTCGGCGACGTCGCACTCTGTCTCGCTTTCCGAGTGGCGGTGCGTGAACGAACTCGCCATAAGGAGTCCCTTGGGCATCGGCGTCGACTTGCCTTCTTCTAAGCTCAAATCTTGGTTGGGCACCAAAGTCCACTTGAAGTCAAAGAGCGAAACAAGTGACGCCTGGAGCACGAGCGTCGCGAGGTCGCGGCCCGCGCACTTGCGGCCGCCCGTTGTCTTGCCAATGGCATGCGGGCACAACTTGTACAAGTCGCTCGCCTCGCTAAAGCCATTGTCGAAGCGGTCGGGGTTGAAGACGCTCGGATCGGTCCAGACGTCCGGGTGCCGGTTCGTCGCATCGAGGCCTGCGACCGCGAGCACGCCCTTGGGGATCGCGAACTCGCCATCAGGCGTCGTGAACGTCAACTCTTGCGTCGTTCGGCCAAAGAGCTGCGCCGGTCCCGCGCTGTAGAAGCGCTTGACTTCGAGGAGGAACCGGTTGCAGTACCCAAGGTTGTCAAAATGGCGCCACCGATCGTCGTGGTACTTGATGACAAACTTGGCGCGCGACGCATGGACCTTCTCAGCGACAGTAGGATATTGGGCGAGCGCCGTGATCGTGTTGACGACGAGGCATTGGGTGCCGCCGAGGCCGGCAAAGAGGGCGTGGAACGCTTCGAGGTGCACCACGTCCGGCGTCAGCTCCGTCTGGCCGAGCATGTAGTCGAGGAAGCACGGCACCGGTGCCTTCGCCTCCACGCGCGCCTGACTTGCAGCGAGCGCGGGTGCCACAAGCTCGTCGAGAAGGCGCTGCTTGCAGACGAGGCCCTCAGCGTCCGCGCCTTTCGAGGACTTCGGAATCGCGCGGATAAAGCTGTCGAGAAGATCGCGGAAGGGATCAAACTTGGCGTCGTACTCGGCTGGCGTCAGGTTCGTGATGCCGTAGAGGATTGCGAGGAAGACCTTGAAGACAGTCTTCTTGCAGCTGAGCGCGAGCGAGATTTCGCCGCCGTGCGCTGCCCACGCCGCATGCTCCTTTTGCACAATCTCAAACACGATGGGCGCATACGAGGCGAGCATCTCTTTGGAGAAGGCGCCCATGATGGCCTCCTTGCGGCTGTCGTGCACGTCGCCGTCGAGCGTCGCGAGGATCGGGCCGAGAAGCTCCACAATGCCCGCGGGTAGCGCGTTCTCCCGCACAATGTGCCCGGCCGCGACGTGCGCATCGTACTGCGAGAGCATCTCGGGGCCACAGAAGCCCGCAATCTTCTCGCTCACGACAGCGCTCTCGATGAGGAAGAGATTGCCCAGCGTGTCGCGCGACTCGGCCATGGCTGCCTTGGGGTCCTTGGCGAACGCGAGGAGCGAGAAGATGCTGTTGGCGCGCTTCGAGTCCGGGAGCGGCGCCACGCCAGCTTCGGTGCTTGGTTGGTTGCCCATGGCTTGCGACGAAAATCAAAGTCTGAGCCATCGGTCGACATCATTTCTCGCTTTTTCGCGACCATGATATGAAAAGTGAGGCTGCGTGTGGTGCGGCGGGGGGACACGAATGCACTGTCTATCGCTGGCTACAGTACGTAGCATAGAAAAAGATCCATGCGCGAGCCCACACTTGCAAAGAAAGGACGATTTTGAGAGGAGCGACGCCTGGATCACCAAACAGAGTTTGAAAAGATAGGGACATGCACGCCACCATCCATCGAATGATCGGCACTCACGCTTGTTGAAGTTGCCAGCAAAGTGCGCTGTGACTGACGCCATTGACGAAGCGCCGATTCGACGTCCGTTCCTGAAGACGCGCCTCAACATTTTAGAGTCCTAGTGCGTTCTTAGAGTAGCAAATAAGTGACTCGCGGCATCGTCTGCGTTATGGAAGAAGCGGACACGGCCCTGGATTATTGTGGGATGACGAAGGAATGGAAACCAATGTCGCGCATCCAGTGTTTTGTCAACATCCCAACCAGTGCTTTTGCGGTGGGGTAAATTGCAGTACGGACACCGTTGGATCGTGCCTCGACCTTCGTTTTAAAACACGTTCATTGTTAACAAGCGCTTGCGTTTGCTGTTGTCGTGGCATGATGGATGCACGCGTCGTGCTTCGAAGTACCGTAAAGGAACTTGGAGGGTCACGTGCACTGCGTTCGTATTACCAAGATCGAATGCGCTGCATTGCTTGATACTTCTCGTCAACAGCGTGTCCCAAGCCAAGCAATCTCCCAAGTGTTGTCGGAGCGGGATTGTTTGCGTGGCACCTGCCGAAAACAAAAATGCACCCACATGCCGAAAATAACAATGGAAAAATCGAAGCCTGGTTCGAAAAACGAGATGCGGGATATGAATAGCCGTCGGAATCTTTGCCGATCTTGGAAGAGTGGTTATAACGGGCCGGCAGCATTGGAGGCCAGGAGCATGGACGAGCCCTTCGAGTTCCACGAGCTGGACTACGAGTCCATGGCGCTCCTCTCGTCGACGTCCGTTGACGGCGAGGACGATGATTACGCGTGGCTGCCAGATGTGCGTCCCACGCGCCGCCTCTCGCTCGAGTGGTTCTGTTCGCATGGCGACCCCACCGCAACGACGCCACCCTCGGACGAGATTAGCTTTGCCTTTCGCTCTGTCCGGCACGACATAGCACCGATCGTTGTCACACCAAAGAAGACAAAGCGACTCAAGGGGCCGAGTGCGTGGTTGAGCCCGCTACAGCCGAATGGATCCATGACAACCGGCAAGATGATCGGGGCGTACACGTATGAAGCGCGGTACCTTCCCATTCCTAGCACACTGGAGCGGTGTTTTACGCGGCTGCTTTCTCTAGGCAGGCTCGACTCGCCCGGTTTCAGGAAAAGCGTCGCGCGCGTGTGTGGCAGAAGCGTGTAAAATACGACTGTCGACAGGCCCTGGCAGGGGCGCGGCCTCGCGTCAAAGGACGGTTTGTGAAAACGACGTTAGTTCTACCAGACAATGGCCTCCTCCTCTCCCAAGAAGTCCTTGCGCCGGTGGAACTTGGTGACTAGACGCATGTTCATCTCTGTGCTAAGTTACAATCGAGTGGACCCGTGTCTGGTGCCATAAGATTAGGGCTGAGACGACGGGCACTCGTTGGCCTTGACGCTGGCGACGAGGTCTTGCAGAAGCGACCGCGTCTGACGTTGGCTCGTCCGACTGATGCACTCGAAGCTAACGACGCACGCCTGTGAAAAAATCGAGAGGTACAAATCCGCGTTCTCGGGCAGCCCCGAGCGTCGCAGCGCCGCCGTCTTGATGCCTGGCACGATCGCATCCACGGAAACGAGTGGCATTGCTACTGCGCAATCAAATGGTCGGCTCTTGCTGCAATGTAAATTGGTGCGTACCACTGATCGACGAAGCCCAGCGTGAGGGGCCGAGAAACAGCGTCGTTTGCAGTTGGTCGACGTACAGCACGCGCTCTTGCGGCTTCTTGGAGCTAACGTCGTGCTGCAGAACAGCAATGCCTTGCTTCAAGAACCACGCAGACGCCGGGCGAGTGGGAGGCCGAGCAATCGCGCTCGGGGCGACGTCCGACGTCGCCGTGCGGAGCAATTCACGCACCTGCTGCTGGATGCCACTCCAATGATCCCAGACGAGAGTCGCTACAGAGCGACCGTTGATCGCCACCGCCGTACTCGCTTCCTACGCAAGTGACGTTTTTCGCGCATGTACAGAGAGGACACGACGTACGTTGCAGGACGTTGTAATGTCGCATGTCAACGCTGGCAGAGTCACCGACGCAAAGTCCGAAATGCAAAGCGTCGAAGTGCCCATCGAGACCGTCGTGTCGATCGATGGCGCCGAAGCGTGTTTCGGCGGCTCGACGGCCATGGGCGCCGGCGCCACCCAGAGACCAAACGGACCGTAAATGGGTGACGCCAGCAACGCAACGAGGCGCGATAACATTGCATTCCAGCGCATCGAGTCCAGATAGAGACGCAGAGCGACCGGAAGACCCAATGCGATAGCAACATCCGGAACGGTCAGCTGCATCGTGAGCGTTCGGGCACCGACGTTGGTGGCATTGACGTACGAGAATCGGACGCTCGGCGTCGTGCTAAACGTCAGCGACGACGCGCCATCGTAAAGCACGTCCAATGTCTCCACGGAGCATCGCAGCGTCCGGCGCACAAGGTCCAGCTGTGAAATGTCTTGAAGGGTGCCGTGCACCCCACAGCACTGCAGCTCAACATGGCTCTTTGACGTATGGCCGAGCTGGGCCTAATGTATAATTGCCACCATAACTCTGAAGACGGCATACATGGAGAGCGATGGCGCCGACGTCGATCGAAACGGCGTCGATGGTGAACGCTGGGGATGGCTCGTAGCGCAAATGGTGCACTCTAAATGGTTCCTCTTCTTTGTGGTACCTAGAAAATCTTGTGATGCAGCGAAGCGTAGGTTGCTACTACAAGCACGTACCACGATATCCACTTGTGGCGAGCGTACAGCGATGGGTACAGCTGCCGTAGCATCGCTTGCGAAGTCGGAAACGGCGCCGACGCCGCTCGAGACGGCACAAAGCTCGTGAGGATATGGAGCTGGCCGCGGTTGCCGCTAAGGGTCACTGACGTGTTTGTCTCGATCGGCGTACCACTTGTGCACCCGAGGAGCGAGATGGATGCCGTCGCAAGACTTTGGTTTAGGTACTGGATAGACCATCGGTCAAGCAGCTCTCTACGTATCAAGGTATCGATTGATGTAAGGCGAATAGTCGGTAACTAACAAGACGTACATGTAGAGCGCATCCTCGTCGACGGACCCGCGCAAGTGAAACTCAAACGTTTGTGCCAAAATGCAGTCGCACGCGGATTTTTGCGGGCGCCATAGAAACGGAAACCCGCAGGCACGCGTCGAAGTCGACGCGTGCACAGGCGGCCCCGTGTACGCAACACCGCGGGCGCCCACCTACGATATCATCTTGGTGACATGAAGGTGCCCCATAAATACCTTGATGTTCGCAACTACGAAAAGTGATGACATGGACGATGGAAACCTGTCGAGCTCCATAGACGCCTGCGCGAGTGTGACGGTGAGAACACCGGGCTCCTGATTGTGGCGCTTGGATGCTTTGTTGCATGCCTGCATCTGGTGACTGGACCATTTGTGAGAATCACGTGCGCTTGGTTGTACGTACTGGCACTGGTCAAGAGCGAGACGGCGCAACTTGGCGACCACAATTGGTCGAAAACAAGCGTCCAGATACTGTTGGCGAGTGAAGAGTAGCGGGACGAGCTCCTCCGGCGACATCGTTGTCGGGTGATGCTTTCGAGCGGCAAACCGCCGTCCTAGGCCGTAGACGCCGGCGTAGACGCCGCGACTGTATTGGGTAACACTCCGAGGCAAACACTCTATCGCGAACGTCATGGAGTGAGCTGCAACGAGCCTTGTACCAATGGCGGCAAACGCGTCGAGGGGTGGTGCTGGCTTGCTCCGGGCAAGTGGCGTCAACTCTTCCTTGTAATGCAAGAAGTAGTCGTGGCTACAGTCCAAAATGGGTGAGCACTAGAAACCAAGAGCAGCAAACGCGTACGGTCGCCAAGGCTTGCGCACAAGGTACGGCGCCAAGTAGCGACGCAGCGCTGTGTACTGGAGGCCGAGAAAGATCAAGTTCAGCGTTTGTCGCCAGCTTGGCCGGTGACGCACAGGATCTTGGAGGTCCAGCAGCACAGCCGCGATTGCGTACCTCCACCACGCACCAGCATTGCCCTTGACCCCGGGCGTCAACGGGCGGAAGCGCCGGTAGAGTCGTCGTCGCATGGTCACGTCCAAACTTTCGAGTAGCTCGCTCAAGTTCTGGAGATGCTCCAGCGGTAGCCGCATTGTCAATTGAGGAACCTCGATGCGCACTTGGAGCTGCACCTACCAACAGTCCAAATAAGCTACGACGATGAGCAGGAGATGAAGGGACACCTCTTGCGAGATGCACAGCTCAAGAGTGATGTTGCATGGCTCCAAAATGTACTACATCGATCGCAGTGAATATGACATCATTATTATGAAGAAGAAATACCTGGGACGGATCGATCACGTACAGCGTGTCGGTGGGCACCTTGGTGGCCGACGCAAAAATGTGGTCGCGCTGCACGTACATGCTGAAGTTCGTGAGTGCGATCGTCTTTGTCTGCAGCACACGCTTCGCCGTTGCATCGTTCGGAGCATCGGAGGATCTACGGCTTGTTATGAGTGCACCGCGATGGTGGACAGAAACATACGAGGACGAAGTGACCGGCTGCAAAACGACGCCGTCGACTTGCATTCCGAAGCTCAGTCTGCTCAAAGTGTCTTCGAAGCGCAGATGGAGCCGCTCAATGCTGACGAAAGCATCGCGGAAGCGGTTGAACCAGCTCAGCGACGTTTTGGAGGGTCCGTTCACGGGGACCTCGGACGTCTTTTCGTCGAGGAGTCGTACGAGCCAGTCGATCTGCGATTGGTGGGCAAAGTCCATGGCCTCGGTGCTATCGCCGGCACGCATCACGGGGGTGCCCACGAGCAGCACAACGTCGGCCAGTTGGATCTACATCGCGTCGTTCATGCGTTGAAGCTGTAGGCAGTGTCGTACGTGAAGCGGCTGCGACGTGAGCTCGGCTGCAAGGACGTTGGTGCGAAGGTGACCGATGAAGATGCTCTTTGGCTCGATCGGAAGTTGCAGGTCGACGATTTCGTCTACACACCACTGCGGTCATGGCGAAGCGTTCCAGCAGTGGTACCCATGCGCAGCTCAAAGTTGTCGATGCATATTTCCCCGTGGAGGCTAATGCGCAAGTTCTCTTGCTTGAAATCCTTGATAAAGCGCGCGGCCAGCTTCTTGATCAGCGCCGACGCAATGCCTTCGAGCACCATCGGACGTCAATGAGACTGGACCATGGGAGAGGACGCCGGTGCCACGATTCTGACAGGCTAAATCCACACAACGCTAATCACACGCAACGTGTTGCTCCGTGGCGCACTATTCCTGGATTTCATCCAGGCGGCGGACTACATGAAGAACCGAGTTCTCTCTTGCTGCGATAATCGCTCAGAACGATTGCGTGTTTTTCACAGACAAGAGTGTCAACGCACCGAAAGAAGTCTTCAACGTCCAAGTAAGCACGATCCCATTCAAAACAATACGGAGGGACTGACGCACCAACGCTTGTCCGATGCGGTTGGTCCCATTTCTCGAAAGACAGAAAAACAAGGCAAAACCGTCCTTGGAGAAGAACCCCTCGCTCGCCATTGCCCAACAGTTCAGCGTCTGGTACAATGGTGCTCGAAAGCTTCCTGGCCAAGATCGTCAACAAGTTTTGCAGCCGCTTTGTGAAAGACTTTAAGAAAGAGGTATGGAGGAGCTGCAGTGTCGCGCCGCATCACTTTCGGATGGATAGAACTTGACGATCTCGCTCTCGGGGGACGTATGCCTCAGCGACTTTGAGCTCAAGACCGATGAAATCAAGGACCTCCAGCTGCCCGTGGAGCTCAAGAGCTTTGCTGTCGGCAAGCTCCACATCAACATACCGCTCACGCACCTCTCGACGCAGTCGATCAAGGTACGCCATGAATTCATGTCGACTTGGCACACATTTGTTTGGTCTTCTATGTAGGTTGACGTCACGGATGTCTACGTGCTTTTGGGAACCCCAAGCGACCCGAAATGGGACATCGACGCGCTCTACGTCTCGGAGCAGTCGAAGATCTTCATTATGCAGCTGCTCCTCGACCTGTTTGCGCCACCGCCCGTTGCGCCTCAACACGGGACCGCAAGTACGCAGCCGTTCATCGCCTCGGATTACTTCATGTCGTGTATCGTAGTCCCTTCGTCAGTGCATGTTGCGCACGGCCCGCCCAAGGTTTCGGCGTCCGCGCAGATGTTTACGCCGTCGGTCGTTGCCATCTTGCGCAACGCGTCAATCGCTCTTGAGCGCGTCCACGTGCGATTCGAAGACGGTCTCAGCGGCCTCTCCCTCGACGCACCCACGTCATTCGCGCTTGGCTGCACCATCAAAAGCGTCAATGTCCTCCCGTCGACGCAAACAATCGGGACGCAAGACCACGTGAAGAGTGCCAAGCTCAACGGACTCGCAATTTACTTCAAGAAGGACGCGCTGATCGAGAAGCTTTCGAAAGAAGCCCAGCGCGCGGCCTTTCGAGCTCCATTTGATGCACCGGCACCCGCGACAGGCAGCAAGGACGACGTGTACCTCTTGGAGCCTCTATCGGCCGACGTGAGTGTGCAAATGACGCTGCCTGTCGCGCCCGACGGCAGTGTCCGCCCCACGCACATTGGCGTCAAGCTAACGGTACCGGACGTGCGTGTTAACCTCACCCACGCCCACTTCACGTACCTCGGATCGTTCCTCGACGGCGTCGATCGCTTCGACCGCTTCACGCTCTACCGGCGCTTTAAACCCAAAGACGCTGGAAAAGGCGGCAAGAAGAACTGGCGCGATTACTGGCGGTTTGCGATCGCCGCCGTGCTCATCGACCTCAACGACCCTGTGCGTCGTCGCCCAACGTGGCGAAGCACACTCAACCTCGTGCTCGTGGGACTCCAGTACACGGCCATTCGGCGCAAGGTGCTTCCGTACCTCATTCGACAACCCATGGACGCGTACGTGACTCAACGACCGCTATTGACCATGAACGCGTCGCTTAGGGACCACCATTTTCTACAATATCGCGAGGACTTCAAGCACAACGCGCCGCACGCCCACGCGCCGTACGATCAAGCGTTGTCTCTCACGATCCGTACATTGGCCGTGCGACGTGACACCCAACTCATGAGGTGTGCGTTAGATAAACTCCCGGCCAGCATCACAGCGTTCGGAGATGGCATCTACGCTGGTGTTTATGGCCTCGCACGCATTGCTCCGGCAGTTGCAGCCACAGCAAAGTCGACTACGACGGTACGACTAGATGAACAGCTTGCGCGATCTAACTGTCTGTTACTATCCAGGACGTCCGTCCCCCAGAACCAGTGACACCGGCGCTGTCGTCGACAGAAACCGAAGCCAAAGAATTGTGGCACCGACAACTATGCATCGACGCAATGTTCCGCCCCGTCGTTGTTGCCAAGCTCCGTGCTTTGGCCGTACGCCAGGTGGACCACAAGCAGCTAACGGCGACCGCGATCGCAAAAGACCACAATGAGCGCAAGGGTGTGCTCACCGTGACACTTGTGGACGCCACGAGCCTCACCAAGTCCATGCATCTCTTTCCCAAGATGAAGGCACGTCCTCGAGGTCGAAATCCCCAACTCTTAGCGAACTCGGTGGTAGATTGGCCGGAAAGGAGCAGCCTACACCGGCGGCCTCGTCGCGACGGACGCGAACAACGCGCTTTTCTCGCAGACGTTCGAGTTTCATCTCCAGGGTACAGCGAACGAAGGCAACGTGCACATGCACCTTTTCGACAAGTGGCCAATGTTTAGCCAGTTTGTGGGCAAATTCCGACTGCCGCTCGCGGCGCTCACGTCCCAGCCGTCCGTTGTCTTGGCTTGTGACTAAACGACTCATGTCATTGCTAGACACACGGACGCTGTGTACACTATTGAAGCTGCCGACCCCAAAACGGCCGGCATCCAACTGCGTGTGCTCACCGTATTTCACCTGGGCACTTCGAGCAGTAGCCTCGAGGCGACGTACAAGACGTCGCTTGCGATGATGGAAGCAACGTACCCCGAGCAGTACGCCAAGAAGACGCACGAGTGGCACTCATGGTATTAATTGCTGGCAGTATCGTACACGGCTGCATCGGGGTGTCTTAGGTACACGGCGAAAGAAGCCACAACACTGCAAACACTGTCCGTGTCGGCAAACATTGGCTCGATCAAGGTCGCCCTTGTCTTTCCCAAAGTATCCACGAAAGGGCAGCTGGACCACATCTTGCTGCAGCTCGACAAGTGGCGCTACCAGCTCATTGCGTACCCCATGCAAGCCGCCATGAAGCAGAGCTTTGCAATCGCTCGCATCGACGTCTTCCACTTTGTCTCGGCCGACACGATGCACAAGCAGTTTATCCAAGGTCCCAAGGTCACGAAGAGCCCGACGCTGACGCCGTTCCTACAGCTCGAAACAAGCCACGCGCCAAAAGAGCCATTGCAGATCAAGCTGCGCACGAGCGAAATGGACATCGTCCTCGACATCCCCGTCATCTTCCGCCATGTGCTGTCGATCATTGAAAAGACGCCCGAGATCACGTCCTTCATCACGCTTCTCAGTGGTCCTGTGTACACGGCTTTGACAGCGTACGCAGCAGAAGGCGCCGACTCGATAGCGGCACCAGCCACATCGGCAACACCTTTGCCACCAACGTCACCGACGTCACCACCGGTCAAGAAGCGAAGCAACAGTATCTTTGGTAGCTTCCAAAAGATCTTCTCAGACGACGACGACAAGCTGGCTGTACCGCTGCCCCCAGCCCCAGCACTTGCCGATGACAAGGACCGCAGCGCCGAGGTCAGCATGAGCGTATGTATCTCGTCGACCATACTTTCGGGCTTGAGCATGTGACGCAGGTGGACATTGGCGCCGTTTACGTGTCGATTCCCAGCGTCAACGTTCGTGTCTCGTTCATGTGGTTTTGGTGGTGACTCACAGACTCTGCATAGGAGTTCAAGAAAGCAGACGCTGAACGCATCGTTGAGATCACCGTGCCGGGCACGAAACTGCACATCCACGGTATAATATCTATGTATCGAGTGCCCCGCCAAGCTACCGTTGTGCAGGCGGTCGTGGCCTCCCGACAGAAGTGTCGACCAACACGCAGAGCCTTGCGACGATGACTCACGACTGGGCATGGGTCCTCGGCCAGTTTGAGAAGATCGGACTCGTTCTCTCGCAGCAGCTGAAGCACAAGACGAAACCCTTCTACACCAAGGAGATGGCGAGCAAGACCAAGGTTCAGCGTCTCGAGTATGACCTGCACGAGCTCGAGAAGCAGCTCGCGCACATTCGATGTGTCATCCGCGACGTCGTCGCAGGCCCCGCCAAGTACAACATTGATGAAGGCGACTGTGATACGCTGCGCATGATGGTGCGCGACATGCAGCCCAAGAAGGTGGCGTTGGCACCGGCACCCACGAAGTCCCCGTACCTTGCCCTCTTGCAGCAGGGCATGACACTGCTCAAGCATCACGTGCACAGCGGCGAGCCCCAGTGGCGGCTCGTTTGGATCACCGAGAAGCTTCTGCACGTTGCCAAGCTGGCGGATCGCAAAAAAGCCAACGGTGCACCTTCGCTGATTATGAATTTCCTCATGACGGGTGTAGAGTTTCCGTTGGCGACGCTGCAGCGCGTCACAACGGGCGAGATGACGCCGGCCCTCGAGCGCAAAGGCAGCGTCAAAGACGCGGCAAAGTATGTCGCCCTGTTCTTCAAGGACGCCGACGCACCGCTGAGCTTCGAGTGCCAATCCGAAGAAGTGAGCACGTGCGTGGCCGCCGCACTCCAGAGCCTTGTCTCGTAGCGTACTCAACTGTCGATAACGGTCACTTGATATTCAATGCATACTTCGTGTTGCACTCAACAAGACCGCTCGTTAATGCAATTATTACCCTTAACCTATTGAGGGTGCAGGACCGACTAAATCTGTTGTTGTATTTGCACCTCTAACTGTTCTATGTATTTTTATGTGACCAAGTTTCATACATGAACATTTGGACGTGTCTGGAGCCAGTCAAACATCTCACCTTACATTGCAGCACCGGGATCAAGAAGCTTTAAACTATCGCGAAAGCAACGAGGAGTAACGCAGTGGCAGCGAGCGAGGCGACACTGGCGCTGCTTGTACCCGTGGCAGGTACCGACTGCCCCAAGGAGTTTGTGACGGTCGGTACGATCTTGCCTGCAGCATCCGTGACGGGGGGCGCGGTCGTCGCCACCGGAAGCGTCGGCCACGAGCGCGTCGCCGCCTTGCAATCAGATGACGCTGCCGTGCACGGCACGCAGATCTGGCCGAGGAGCGTACGCTTGCAGCCAAATTGGTTCTTCGCGCAGACCGGGTTGTTGTCGCTGCATGATGGGTTGGCAGACGTGAGATCCGAGACTTTCGGAAATGGCTTCATGTTGGCGTAATCGCCCTTGCCCTCTGCGACCTTGGCCGTGTAAAAGTCCATCATTTTTTGGGACCGCTCGGCGTTGGCTGTCACGTTGAGCGGGTCGGACCAAAACGGGATGCCCGTGCTCGTTGAAAAGTCCCACTCGTACTTGCCGTCCTTGCAAAACTCGACGTGGTTGGCGTACGGCTTGCCCGTTTGGAAGCTCGTCATGTTTGTGATGCCGACGAGCTCGTCAATGTTGACGTAGCCGAGCACCGAGAACGAGTACGTGCACGTGACACCGTCAGGCTTTGTGCCGTACGCGCAGAGGCCGCCTTTTTGCGCCGCCGACGCGCGGCACGCGTCCGTCTTGGCCGTGAACGTCTGCGTAAAGCACGAGTTGGGCCACGAGAACCAGTAGTTGTTTTCGTAGTTGGCATATTGGTGCGTTGCGCGAGGCTCGCCACCAATGTAGTCGCCGAGCGCGAGGTTGCCGCCGAGACCGGTGAACTGCATGCAGCCCTGGGGGACGGTCGTGCCGCTTGTCGGTGTGCACATGCCATTGTCCATCGCAATGAACGGACCGTACTCGGGCGCGTAGCCCGAGTTGGTGCCAAACTGCGATACCGAGAGCACCGGCTGGACGACCTCAATGTCAAAGTACCAAATGTACGTCATGTTGGTCTTGCGCATGCAGTTGTTGGCGGCCTGCACCGCCTTGTCGATGCCCTCCGTCTGCACGTAGAAGAGCGAGCCCTCGACAGTCGCCGTGTTGATCGTGTCCATTGCGGCGCGGTACCGCTGCTCAAACGTGACCGTGTTCTGCGGGAAGATCGCAACCCACTCCTTGTGATCTGAATCCCAGTGCGGCAAGTCCGACTGGACGCGGGCTTGAACTGTGCGCACGCGCTTGAAGGCCCACGTGCCGGCGCTCGAGCTCGAGCCGGTCGAGTTGGCTGCAGTCGCGTTTGTTGCTGCTGTCGTCGTCGTTTGGCCAGCCACAAGGCTCATGGCGCCAAGAAGAGCGGCGCAGGTCGAAGTCTGTGAGACCATGTTGCTAGAGCACGAGCAATTTGAAAATGTATCCAAGCGCTGGCAAGGTGCCACGAACCAGCTGGATTCGAGTCCGAGGTGAAACACACAAACCGGAAATAGTGTGGACAAATATATCCCACGAAAAAATGCGCAAAATCTGAGCGCGATCCCGCGTTCTTATTGTCCAAGAAACTGGCGCTGAAACAATGCGAGCGAGGATGCTTCGGTAGCAAGTTGTCTCTCTCCAGCTGTACTCTGCTCCTTGCCAACTCGTGGTGAGGGTCAGAGAGGTTCATAGCAAAGAGACGCCAATGGCAACAGAATCCGTGACGGCGAAATAGTGTCAACAGAAGGGGATGGTAGGAGCTCCTCGGGGGACTGATGTTACGCCCAGAGCCCACCAGATGTTTTGACCCTTGGCGCCATCGATGATAGGCCACTGTTGCAAAATGTGCAGCGAGAGGCCCTTCTCTTCAGCGCCACTGGTCTGCGCCACTGGTGAACCCAAACAACATGACCTGGGAAAGGCCTTGGTGCAACAGCAGCAAGCTCGTCACCGAGCAACATAGACCTGGCAACCACCCGTGTGGGCGGACAGAAGGCGAATTACGTCAGTCGTGGCAAGAGTGTGCAGTATCGAGCTTGTGACCGACTCTCACCGACCCGAGGCGGACCATTTCGAGGACATCAGTCCGGGTTGTGACACATATTTTTCATCGTTTCAGCGATTTTCCGAACTGCTTGTTTGCCAGACAATAAGGGTGTTTTTTCGGCGTCAATTGCGCATTTGCACAACTAGGGTCATCTTTACGAGAGCATGGCAAACACTTGCTGCTCGTCCGCCGAGAGGCTCGCCCACGCCGCTTGCACGGCCGATCCCGGTAGCGTTGTCTACACGGCTCTAAAACATCTGTTGCTATGCGGCGAGTACCGTACCTGCAGCGACTGCAAGAGCAGTGCGAGGCGCTCTTCGCCTTCATCGTCGAGAACGGGCTCGGCGTCTTCGTCCATGTTGAGCGCTACGTCCGCCATGTCAATAGACTTCGAGAGGTGTATTTCTCTACCGAGGATGGCGGCAAACTTTTGGAGCACAACGCCGAGTTGGCTAAAGTTGTCGCCGAGCAGATCCATGTTGCGCGCCTCGACCATTGTGAGGAGGTCGGCGTGCACTACCTGGGCCTCGAGGACGTCCGACTGCAGCGGAAGGCAGTGCAGCCAGAGGCGCAAGAGCGTCGGCGCGTCCACGAGGCTCGACCGGAAAAGGCAAAACTTGCCGACCGCCGAGACGCAATTGTCGCGCGCAGCCGCCTGCTCCGTCTCAACCTGGTCGTGCTCGAGCGACTGAATGCAGCTCCAGACGCGCTGAAGCGTCGCAACGCAGTGCGGCTCAAAGCTGGCGCCGCCAAACTGCGCGCAGACGCCGGCGCCGTAGGCCGAGGCCCGAATCACGTTCGGGTTGCTATCTTCCAAGCCCTACACCCGCATTGTTCGTCTTTGCTCGTGCATAGAAAGCACGAGGGCGTACGCTCCAGAGGTGCGGCAAGAGCTGCGGAAGCAAATCGGGCCCGCTGTGCTCGAGCACATCGTCGATGGTGCAGATAAAGTGGGCGCGGACGGCGCCGGGAAAGGACGGATCCAGATACGGCGCGATGGACGGAAGCCATTGCTGCGAAAAGAGCGGAAGGACACTAGCCTTGTGCGTCTTGATGCACCAGCCCATGGCGTCAATGAGGTTTTGCAGAATCGAATCCTACGCGCAGCATCAACATCGCAGCGACCCGTGTCCGTCTACCTCGACGTCCTCTTCATTCTCGTCCTCTTCGTCAGCGTCGTCGGCATCGGCGCCGCCATAGTCGCGCGCCATGCGACGCTTCACACTCGCGTGGGCCGCGGCCAAGAGCTTGGCGACGACCTACGCAGCGCTAAGAAACCGCAATGTTTCGTGAACGCCATGTACGTGGGGGAGGTCCGCGATCGGAATGCCAACGCTGTAGCCGTTGTCGCTGGCCTCCTTGCATGCTTCGAGCATGAGGGCGATGGCTTCCGTGAGACCGGCGACGCACTCCAAGTCCTTCTCTTCCTCGAGCGTCTAATCACTCGATCAACCAACGTGACATACACGAGTTGGTACCTGCAGCAACGGGGCAAACGCCTGCTGAAACACCATTTGCGGAAACGACGACGACGGGTCCGAGCCATCGACGGCGGCCGAGACGAGCTTGGCGAGCGTAAAGCCCGTGACGAGGCGCACCGACTCCATGTACTCGAAGCGCAACAAGGGCAGCAGCGCCGAGAGTACCTAGCACGATGCACAAAATTTACGCTGCCCTCTACACAAACCGGCTGCACACCTCTTTAATGTATGGCGCAAACGCGCCTTGGAGGTCCATGGCGCACTGGTAGAGCATGTTGACGCCCATGAGCTTCTCGTCGAGCGACGACGTTTGGATCTGGACCTTCTTCTTGCCTTGGCCACGGACGTCAACGATCACTTGCTCGACGCCGTCGCCCACATCGTCGTCGTCCTCGTTCGTCTAGCATAACGTTCGATGATACTCTCTCTCTAGATGTATATACCTCGTGGACGTCCAAGATGACAATGTCGGGCGGCGTCAACGCCTGTGCTAAGAGCCGCGGCACGAGCACGGGGAGGTACGGCACAAAGTCTTCCTTGAGGACACTGCCGATGCGCACGCAGGCCTGCGAGAGGTACTGCGCCTCGACCGAGACCGCGTCGACTTGCATGTGCAGCTCCTGGTGCTTGAGAAGCATGTCCATGATGCCGCGCGCGTCCGCCAAAAACGCGTCCTTCCCGACCGCCTGCCCGATGAGCGCGACGCTTTCCATAGCCTTGCCCCGGAGCAGAGCAAACTGCTTGCCTAGCTCCACATCTGAGTCCTTGCGGAATAATCAAATACGAAAGGTACCGTGAGCATGCAAGAGCACTTGCTTGGCCACGGGCATAAAGACGTTGTAGTAGCCAACGAATGCGTCGCCGACGACCGTAGCAATGCACGCGACCGCCGTGATCGCTTGCTCTTGCACCTACGCCACGTGACTCTTCTGCGACTTCGAGAGCAAAGGCACCTCGCGGGGGCACGACCCGAGGGCGGCAAATAGCGTCGAGAGAAGCGGGTCCAAGAACGGGAGCACGTTTGCGGGCTTGCAGTGCTCAGGGTGGCAGAACGTGCAAATAACGTTCGCGGCAAGAGCGCGGTTCCGCAGGACCGCCTAGCGACACGACATGTTGTACGTTTGATGAGAACTGAAGAGCAGCACCTCGCGCTCCGAGATGGCGGGAATGAGCTCCGGGATGATGTCGGCGCCAAACTTGGCCTGAAAGTTCTTGCCACGTTCGACGGACCCGAAGTCTTCGGTAAACTGCCCAAGGCAAAAGAGCGCCGCGTACCTAGCATGCATCTATGAATTGCGAAAAGGCCACAGTCTGAAGCCGCACCGAACGCGCGGGTGCGGGTCCTCGAGTCGCTGGACGATGGCTGGAAGGAGCGACGGCAGCTCCTTGTAGAGCAATGTGTTGGCGCCTGGGATGAATCGTCGATATCGGGGCTCAGTAAAGAGATCGGTACCTTCGCCCATGAGCCCCAGAGCGTACAAGGCGGCGTGACGCTTCTGCCATGCTACAGACACGCTACATAGCACCCAAGGCATCACAGTGCATGACGCACCAGGAGCCTGCAGAGCCTGCGCCACCAAAGGCAGTGCAATCGGCAGCATGACCTTGCCACCGACGTCGTTGGTCAAGCGCAGGAGAGCCGACGCGCCCGTGTCACTTGTGCGACCTTCGTCCGCGTCCGCATCCTATTGGTCGCACGTTAGCGTGACGACGGCGACGCACAGTGTTCCAACCGGTGCGTCGTCAAAGGCAGCCGTCCACGCGGCAACACCAGCGTCATCAAGCTCCGTCATGAGGTCGAGAGCGCACGGCACCAAATTTTCCAAGAGGTTCTTGGCACTGCGCCCGGCCGAGCTCTACAACGAAGTTGAGACGCTGGGCATTACACAGCATGCGTACCGCTTTCGTGCACAACGACACGAGAATCTCAAGGGCAAGTTCGCGCGTCTCGGGCTCGAACGCGTGGGTACGCGCGACCTGGAGCATCGCACTGCCAAGCGCAATGAATAGCGAGCCAGAGAATGCAAAAACCCGCACCTGCCGAGGGACTCGATGTGCAGCTGCAAGAACGCAGGGTGCGCTTCACTAAGGACGAGAACGGCCGAGAGAACTTCGCGCGCGAGGAGCTCGTCGCCGCTGTGCAGAAGCGCTTCGACAACCTAGACGACGGTCAAGTATGTTTCGATGCATTCTGAGGCGTACGTGGAGGAGCGGGCCCAAGAGCTGCGTGAACGGCTGCATAGCCTGCGTGCTTTCGAGCACAACGATGTACGCAACCATGGCCTTGGCTGCGGCGACACGCAAGTCCAAGCGGGCGTCTACATACTCGGAGAGTCATTGCAGAGATCGAGGTCGAGATGGACGTACGGCCGAGGAACGCCGAGAAGAGGTGGAAAAACTGCTCGTGGTGCAACGCGAGCGTCGGGCCGAGGTACTCGCAGAGCGTTGCCAGCACTTCAAGCGACGTGATTTGCATGGCCTATATGCATCGTAACATACAAGTTGCAACTGCGATCGCAACGTACGGCGTCCGAGTGCTGCGTCAGGGCGACGATCGCCGGCAAGAGCTCGGGCCACGTCGCCTCGAGGCGCGCGAGTTCGGCAATCGCATGGCCAAGCTTGCGGCGAACGTGCGCGAGCGGCTCGGCGCCAAGAGCGGCCACGAGCTGCGTCTTGAGTGCAGCGCGGTACTGGAGCTCGAGGTGCGAGACGCCTTCGGTTTCGAGCACGCGCCGAAGGAGAACAGGCGCGAAGCTGCGCGTCGTGGCGTCGCTCGGGTTGCTCTGCGCGCACGAGAGCAAAAGCAGCGTGCTCGTGAGCTGGACGGGCTGCTCGACCTTGAGTTGCGTGTACGCGGCCTCGGCCTCGCGCCGGACGGCGTTGTCGTTGCTGAGGAGCCGCAGGATGAGCTCGGCGCTGGACATGGCTCGCTCGTTTCACTGGCAAATTATGGCATCCCCAAAATGTCTCGCCAGGACGCGGATAAAAACACGCCTCTCAAGACGCCCACCGTCCACCGGTGAGCTGGCTTGCTGCGCGTTTAAGGCATACAACAAGCACTCAAGAAGTAGCAATGAATGCAGTATTTGCATTGACACAGATTGCATGGCGATTGACGCGGTTTTAGGAGGCTTGCAAAGACGTTTTGTTTGTTAAGTGAAGTGCATTCATGTGCGTGACAACGTCTTCATTGTACACCGGTGTACAGAAAAATTCTATCGCATTCTGTGGGGCTAAAATACCGTACACCGGTGTATGACGATCTTGCAGAGAAACACGGGATTGGATAGTGTGGTCGTAGGAAGAGCTTGGACAAACCACAACTTGTGCACGTACAAGAAACCGAAAGCTAAAGACTCGTTCGATGTCTCGTGTTGGCTGCGTTTCACTCACTGGCCTCGATTCTCTGCATGGAACGACCCAAGGCTGGGCAGAGTGCAGAATCCATAAGCTTTGAATGAGACTCAAACGAACTGTTCGCCTTTTATTTATTGCGCACCCACGAACACTTAGTCGGCACATTCACAAAACCTCTCTCGAGTCTTCCATCGTTCACGGAGCTACTGACG